GTTTTCGGTGTTCAGTTTATTGTTGTTTCAAGGGGAGAGATCTGGGGACATCTCTCACGCCACCATGTTTAATTCAATCTTCGATCTGTATGTATTTCTAAAAACCTCTTGGACATTCTAAACTCAGTATGTCCATAACTAACTTCCTGCCCTCTGCTCCTAACCATCACTTCATAGTAAATTCACCATTTACAAACCTTGTGGTCATTCTTATTTTCTCCCTCTACAGTCACATTATCACCAAGCCATATTTTTTATCTCTTTAATGGGTCTTAAAGTTGTATTCTTCTTTCCATCTCTATTGCATAAGTCTCTCTGCCTCTGGTTCTACTTGCTCAGAACCCTTCTCTAGGACTCTTAGAATGACTTTCTCAAATCCGATTATTTCTCTCTCCAGCTTGTAACCTTTTCATAATTCCACCAAGTTTTCCTGCTTTTTAACATACACTACAAGGCCCACGTTTTCACCCCTGGTTATCACCAGTGTCTTCTCTTTCTAATCTCCACCCTTCATCACCACCATCCCCAAACATACAACCATATAAACACTCAAACCACTCGGAACTTCTTTATTTCTCTTAATGGAAGATATTCATTCATATATTTTCTTTCTTCCTCCTTCCCTCCCATCCATTCATCTATTTACGAATCTATCGCTTTTCCCCCAGTAGCTCTGGTTTTGCCTGGCTTAGCTCAGATTCCACCTTTTCCCTGAACACTCCCCTCTCAATCTAGTTTAGATGCCCCAGTTAGCTGCACGGTGTGGGTGTCTCCACTGAATAATATACTGTGGTTATTCATTTACTTATCTGCTCTCTGTCTAGACTTTGAACTTCTTGTGAATGTGTCTTATCATCTTTATATTCTCAGCACCCTAAAACAGAAGTAGGTCCATAATAGTCACTGTGAAAATGAATGGTGAAAGAATGAAAGGATTAAAGAAGGAAGAAATGAAATATAAACTCTTTACTTTTTACCATCTAGGTTCTTTTGCTGTTCAAATTCTAGAAATATTAATCATACTATTTCAGGTTATTTTTTAATGGGTAGGGTAAATTTTATTAGAATAATTATATCTCAAAGAATAGACGGAATACTTTAGGTCGAGAAATTTCAAATAAATGACAAGAAACCCATTCTCAGTGATTCTTAAAGTTGCCATCCTAGAAACCAGAAATCATAGAAATGAACTCTTCTTGAAAAATTTACTCTCTGTGAAAAGGAAAGTCAGAGGTATTTCCTATAATGAGGACAATAAATGATCAAGGTGCCGTCTATACCTGACTCCCCTCCTTTGGTGTGCCCCTTGGCTCATTTCAGTTCCTTAGGCTGTCTCCTGAGAGTCCTACTTCTGAAACTGTTCTCTCTTGCCTTGTGTTGTCTCACATTTCAAATCTGTCCAGCCCCTATTTTTGGAATCTATTTTTTTGATGTATAGAGAAAGTCTCACCTGTAAAGAAGTGTTCTTTCATATTTGTGAAACATCTCTGTAGAGTAGCTAGATAAAACTATAAACCCATCTAATGACATAAGATATTAAACAATGGATCTTTCTTTCCAAAAGAAGAATGACTGGTCAGACAGTTACTACTAATGCAGCTGAAAACCGAGACATGGGAGTAGAAGAGAAACAGTTAACACCTGTTCTAAATCAGACTGATGAAAAAGATTCAGGAAATCACCAAGTAAAAAATTCTAGATCAGTTTTCTGAACCTATAATTTCTATACCTATGGGCTACTGGTAGTTCAGCAAATGAATATTTGTTTCCTCCAGTGTACCTAGCACTGCAGTAAGCACCATAAGAGAGAAGAATTGAGTGGGATATATAAAAGTCTAGAGAGGACGAGTGAAAAAAAAAGTAAGACACACCATCAAGTGCTAGGTTGTGTGGTACACACTAGTGTATATAGGAACTCAGGACAAACAAGAGATGTGCTAAGGAGATTAAGGAGAGAGACTGGATCTCTAGGGGATCATCAGTCAAGTGTGTGACATAGAATGGCATAGAGCAGAAAAGGTATCATATTAACTTCCCTCCACATCTCCTTAATTACCAACTTCTTTAGTGCTTTGATTCTTCAGATCTCTTTCGACTTTATCTTTCTTTCCATTAACAGCCCTGTTCAAGGCTTTATTGCTTCTGCTGAGACTCTTTTACCCTCAGACTGTCTCTAGAAACACATAGCCACTCCAAAGTCATCTTTCCAAAGCAGTGCTTTCATCACACTTAAAATCTTTGTGAGGTAGGGGAATTTGCATTTCCTAAGCAGCTGTGGCAACACAGAGGAGCTTTCCATTCATTTTCCCATGCTCGTGGCCTTCAGAGGTATAGCTTTATTCTAATATCTGGGAATCAGCCTGCAGAAGGGCTGTGTTGTTGGCTGGCAGGAA